ACGTCCTATCACCGTTAATCATATACTTTATTTTTTATCATCTTCAATACTTATTTCACTTATTTTATTCAATATTATTTTCGATTTTTTATTGTCTATTCAAATAATTTCATTCTTATCTTTTTATATCATCATTTTGTTTTACCGTTACAATTTTTATGTTTAATTTTATCTTAAAATTTTTTTTTATTTCTTAAAAATCTTTAATAAATTTTTTAGACAATTTTTTTAAAGTAAAAAATTTTAACAGAATTTAATTGATAAAAAAATTATTTTATTTTTTAATTTACTAAACTAAAAAAAAATTAAATTAAAAATTACTAAGAAAATTTTTTTTGTTTGAAAAATTGATTAAAAAATAATTTTTTATTCAAAATTATGTCTATTATATTAATTTATGATTAAAAAAAAATTATTTACTTTAAAAGATTTTGTCTAGAAAAAATTACATTTTTTTTTTCAATAGAAAGATTGAAAAAAAATTTTTTTTCAAAGAAGAAAACTCTTTATTATACATTAAATTAGTATGAAAATAAAAGTATTTAATTTTTTATTAAAAAAATTTTTTTAGGTTTAATATAATTATAACAATGACAATAATAATGATACTATTGCATTGATCAGTTTGCAGAGCACGTTTCAATGAATAATTGTGACCTGTTTTATAGCGGGCAAAAGTTTTATAACTTGACCAAAACCGTTTTTTTATTTTCTTCCTCCAATATATAATATATAAATCTTGCACGTTATAAAGTTCAAAGACTTGGTTAAATTTTTTAGTGTGTATATATTTGGAGTTGAGTGTAAAAAAAATTTTGATATGGTTGTTACGTCCGTTAGCTAAAATAATCGATTGTAAAAGAGTCACTGGGTCAGGAATTTTAAGCATTTGTAGCATTTTATAACGATATAAAGTTTGTAAATGCATCGAGGCGTCAAGAAAAAATTATAAAATACAAGAAGAATATTAGTGGTAATTTTATTTTAATGCATAATCAAGATTAAGTCACGTTTACTGTTATTTTTTATGTTAGTTTGTTAATTGGTAGTTAATTGTTTTAAGTGAATTGTTTTAATTATTTATTTCTTATTAATTATTTATTAAATGATGTATATTGACTGGAATTTTATTTGGATAATTCATTGAAAATTTGAATACTGTCCGGGCATGATTTTTTTAATCGGTTAGTAGGTAAATGACCTGACTAATTTTTATCCGATTTAATGTCACATCGACTTTCGGTTACTTTCTTATGCTTCTATGTTTATAGATATAAATATGTAAGAATGATTTACGTGCAAGGAAATGAATTAATTAGTTAAGTATGAGCGCATCGAGAGTGTTTATAACTTTCTACGCCCTATACTGTACCAATAGAAGCATTACGGGTTTACTCGTTATGTACTGTCGGTGATTAGTGTAATTTTTATTATTTTTGTTGCTAATGTATGAGGATAATTATTTTTTAATTAAAAAAAAATTTTTTTTAACTTTTAACGCAATGACAAAATTTTTTACTGTGAAGATAATAATAACTAGCAATCTTGCAGTCACTATATTAAATAATGAATTTAGTTAAATTGCACTGTACTTTCTTAAATATTGACATTTTTAAAGATATAAGCTCATCCCGATGATACACTCATCAAGAGCTTTCATTTGAGTATCCACATGCATTTTTGATATATATGTCATATATACATATATAATATATATAAAATATATCAAATATATGAAAAATTGATGTGGGTACTCAAATGAAAGGTCTTGATGAGTGTAACGTCGGGGTGAGCTTATATCTTTAAAAATGTCAATAATTCACAAGATATTTGTTAAAATGCCCTGTACTTTCTTGAATATTGACGTTTTTAAAGATATAAGCTCATCTCGATAATACACTCGTCAAGAGCTTTTATTTGAGTACCCACATGCATTTTTATATATTTATATATTTCACAAATACCATATATATAAAATATATAAAAATTGCCATGTGGGTATTTAAATGAAAGGTCTCGATGAGTGTAACATCGTGATGAGCTTATATCTTTAAAAATGTCAATAGTTGATGAGATATAAGGTCATTTCTTAATTATGTATCTAAAGATAGAGCATTTTCGAATGCAGCCTAAATACTTATCAAAAATTAAAAATTGAAAGATAATTGACATTTTTATAAAAAATATTGCATACAAAAAATGAGTTAAATAATGTTAAAACAGTTATTAAAAAATCTCGGAGTAAAGAGATGAAGAAATGAGCAAAAAAAAATAAAAATAATTGGCACGCGAGTAGAAAATTAATAGCAATTTAATCACAAAAATAAATCAAGCCACTTTACTGTATAATGTAAACGGTTAATTAAATGCCGACAATCAATTTGAGCATTTTATTATTTAACATCCACCATAAACACGGATTACAAAAAAGTGGGACAGATCTTGACAAATAGTGGATTAAGCATAATAATTTTTTTAATAAAGTACATCTGACCGAAAATCGGTACCAATACAAGTATTGCAATGATAACGATATTATGATTAAAAAAAAAAAAAGTGGTCTAGTAAAAAAATTTGAATAAAAAACGGGACAATAATCAGTATTCTCGCAGCAATTGACACACTATAATTAAATTCAATTGTCGTACTTATTTATATTGACAATATGCAGCCTCGTTAATTCAGTAATAGTAAATAGGAATTGTTAAATTAGCAACACCTCTATTTAAATTATTCCCTGCAGTTTGCACTTGCCACAAAAAAATATTTATTCACCAAAGGATCAATTTATTCTCATTTTTCGAATCGTAATCGTCGACAGTACAGTATACTGACTGTGAAGACAGTGCCGTTGCACTTGGGAATACCAAATGTCGCTCCCAATTGTAAAATGGAATCTCGAATAAATTAAAAAGCCTAACGGATCTTATTTGCATTTTATTAAATTCGAGTCTTTAATTTTCTTTATCGGTCATTAAAAAGTGACGTCAGTATTCGATATTACATATTAATTAACAATAAATAAAATAAAGCTTATGAAATTACTAGTAGTAGTAATTATAATAAATAAATTCGGCAAATAGGTCACCATTTATGACCTTACCGAATTATCAGACGCTTAATTTTTCAGATTACGTACGCGATGTATTGAAAAAAAAAAACTAGTTTAGTAAGCAGAGTTTGCAGAGATTAAATGTCTCATTGCCCAGGTTCTGGTTTAAAATTAATTTTAAAATTATCCAGCTCAATTCGGTGTCAAAATTTGAATGCCATAAAAATGAATGCCATGATAATGTGACGGGTGATGGGCTAAAGGAGTTTTTAGTCCCTGATATTCAACATGATATTCAACAGCTATTAAACAACCAGTCGGCGGCAGCAACTAACGGTTACGTGTTATATCACATGGCTAATTTTCTGAAAACGCCGGACTGGCCTGTACTCTGTAGTAACGGATCGGAAAAATCTCACAGTGCCGTTGCGGGATGCAGTTGATTCATCTTAGAAATTTATTCCTTTTTTTTTTTGGGTTATTAAACAAATCTTTATTATTAACAATATCCTATCCATTGAATTCTGTAATGATAGTGAGATATTCTACATAGTATAAGCTTCGGATTATTTTTTTTTTATTTAAATATTGGTTGAAAAATGAAAAAATATTATTGAGGTATCAGATATTTTTTTTTTAACGAGTTTTTATAAAGGAAATTTTAGATGGAAAAATTAAAAAAAAATTTTTTTAATTAAAATAAAAAATAATCGGGTCTTAATTTTTTTATCATATAAAATAGAAATTTGTAAAAATTTTTTTTGAATTGTTTATTTGGTTGGAAAAAATTGTCATTTTAAATTTAATCAACATTTTTTTATTTAATAATAATAATAATAATAATAAAATTAAAAATAGAGATTTTTCTTTTATATGAACAAGTTTTTATAAAGAAAATTTTAGATGAAAAAATTAAAAAAAAATTTTTTTTTTTTAATTAAAGTAATGAATAATGTGTCTGTTAATTTTTTTTATCACATAAAACTATTAATTTGAAGAAATTCTTAAATTATTTTGTTGAAAAAAAAAATTGTAATTTTGAATTTAATCAAACTTTTTTTATTAATAATAATAATAAAATTTAACATAGAGATTTTTTTTATTTAAACAAGTTTTTAAAAAAAAAATTTTAGATGAAAAAATTAAGAAAAAAAAATTTCAATATAATTATTAAAAAGAAAATTTATTTTTTCATTAAAAAAAAGAATAATGTGTCTGTTAATTTTTTTTTATCCTATAAAACTATTAATTTAAAGAAATTTGTAAATTATTTTGTTGAAAAAAAAATTGTCATTTTAAATTTAATCAAACTTTTTTTATTAATAATAATCATAATAAAATTTTTAAAAAATTAACAATGATAAAAATGACAAATTAAAAAAAATTGTCATTTTAAATTTAATTAATAATAATAAAATTTTAAAAAAATTAATAATGATATAAATATCAAATAAAAAAAAATTAACAAAGTTGAAACATAAAATTGAAATATAATTAAGAGGTCACGTGTTATGTTATAAAGTTAAGTATTTTTTTTCATTGATGAGCATTTTATGTGTACCGAACTTTTACAGTTTATATAAATATATAAGTATATAAACTGTTACGGTGAATCGATACGATACAAGATACAAGAAAATAAAACTGGTCATTGGAGCGAGTACCGTGACCGGTAGACCCTCTACTGCCGGACCACGATCTCGATGATGATGATGACGGTGACAAGATCATGCGTAGGCCTATCATGTGTATCATTACTATGGCGCGTACGACTCGACCCACCAACCTCATGAGCACAACCTGTTTTATTTATTTTATTTTATTTTATTTTATTTATATATCTTGCATCACAGTTCCATAATATTATTTTATTTTATATGATAGAATGCGCATATCTTCTCTTATTATTTATTATTTACAAATACGGGTGTTTTTATTTTGCAGAATCATGTTAAGATTTATATTGATAGCGCTCCTGACGAGCTGCCGAGTGAATGGAAATACCGATAGTACAAATGAGCCGCATCATCGGCAGAAACGAGTATTTTGGATTACCAATGATGGCAGAATAGCTCTACCACCTGGTACTATATTGACCATCACTCCTACGATTGCTTTACCTTTCGTACGTTATCCACCTCATGGATTTCTCAGTAATATGACGATAAGTCTTCCTTTCACAAGTATGTATTTTTTATTAGATCTAAAAATAATAATAATAACATTGAAATTCGCATTTATTGATTAAATAAATTATCAGAAATAGAAAAATATATTCTTTAAAAATTTTTAATTACAAAAAATTCTGTGTTAAAAATTTTTATGTTAAATATTTAACACTATTTTGTGTTGATTTAACAGAATAAATGTTAAATTTACACATAAAAGTGTTAAATATTTAACAGAAAAATTTTTAACACTAAGTTTTTTGACGTAAAAATTTTTACTGTGTGTATAAAATTTTTTTTCACTAAGAAATTTTTATAAAATTTTCGGATGTCTGACAATTTCTGTTTAATCAATAAGAACTATGTTAAAAAAAAAAGTTTCTAAGTTTCTATAGGGTGAATTTTAGATTTTTATGAAGCCAACGTCAACATTTACAATGTAAGATAGTAAATTTTAATCGCAATGATAAAAATAAAATTATGATTATTGACTTGGCGCTTTTTACTGTTTGAAATGTTAATTTTTGAAGAGTGAGAGTTGTCATTGGCAAAACTACGAGGTGATAACTTTTCGGATTTTTCAAAAAAAAAAAAAACAAATTGTTTTTCCGGATTTTTCATAACTAAAGTTCACAAACGTCTTTATTTTTTTTTAAATAGTTAGATCAAAAAAATTTTTAATTTTTATTCCAAGTAGAATATTTTTTGACCTATTGAAAGAAAAAATGCCACTAATAGGATTTTTTTACCTTAAATAAGTTAAATTTTGTATCTTTTTCGGTAAAATTTCGCAATTACTATGATTGAAACATTAATTTTTCGCTGTTTTAAGTTGAACAAAAATTAATAATCTTTTATTTAATGTAAATAATAAAAAGTATAAAAGAATTTTTCTAACTAAATAAAAATTAAATTTCAGTTGACTTCGACAAATTAGGATTAACAGACAACGAAAATCCTTACGGAGCATTACCGCCGGTGTTTGGCCGCGGAATGGAAAGTAGAAAAGCCGGTATGATGATGGCCGATTTCATAGCCTCGTTCATAAAACGACGATTACATAAACGTGATTTAGAGGAAGCACCACCTAAAAATGCATTTCACGGAGGAGAGCGCGCATTATTGTACGTAACTGCGGAGGAAATGCTCTCCACGCTGGGTATGGACGGCAAGGCTTGCTTATTGCGCGCTATTTGCGAAGTTCAAGGCCACCCGCTCAGTAATTTTGGGCTTGTCGGTGAAATGCTTAAACTATTTTTCACGTACGCATTATTTTATTTGTTTTTCTTTCTATAATAAGTACCAGCAATTGCAAATTTTCTTTTCTAACATGGAATTCACTTGGATGATTCAATAAATAAAATGATTATTTATAGGGCAAGTAAATCGCCGTTTGCTGAGCTACTGAACGAGTATGTAGAAGCTGAAAACCGTGGAAAAATTCATGGAGAGTGCTGGCCTTATTATAAAAATTGTCCTAAATCATTGTTTTTACCTTCGACTAATCGATATACGTAAGTTCATTTTTATAAATTTTTTTTTCTATTTTTTTATTATTGATAATTTACTCAGATATTTAATTAATTTTCTCTCAAGCTTATAAAAATTTTTTTTTTATTCAATATCAATTTTATTAAATTTATTATGATTTTTTTTTCATTAATTATTTTATTTTTTGCAATTTTAATTATTAATATTAGAGATATTGAATCAAATTTTGTAATATTGAATTTTTTTATTTAAAAATAAATTGTAATAATTTTTTATATTATTTTATGATTAATATAATAATAAATAAATAATTAATGATAATTTTTTTAGAAAAGACAGCAATGATATAGAAGAACCAAATGATGAAAACGAAATAAAAGACCAAAAATCAGATTACGACAGACAAAGTCAAGAATACATGATTAACCCATCCATGTAAATAGTAGCTTAATTATAGGAATTAATTAACTTAAACTATTTAAAGAAATGTGATTGATAAAACAATTTATTAATTAATCACTGACCACAGTGTGGTGAAGAAGCTCAGGTGTAATTTTATCTAAAACTATTTATTTATTTATTGAAGTAAATAATTTTGAAAACGAAAACAGCGATAACGTCTAATTAATAAAATTTAATAGATTTTTTATAATTATAATGAAGTAATTAGATATCTGCTGTTTTCAATATCCTATTCGCATTACTAATTTATTACTACAGTCATACTAATAAAATATGATCTTAAGAATCATATTTTTATAATAATCATACATTGTTAAGTTTTAAATATTTAAATTGTTAATGCCATATTTAATTATTAAATTATTTATATTTAATAATTGTACATAGTTGTTTAATAAATAAAATAAAATAAACTTTTAAGTTTTTAGTTTTATGAAATTTTTAGACTTCTTTTGTACATTTTTTTTTTTAATTTATATTATATTTGTTAATTGAATATATAAAATATTTAAAAATTTTAATTTTAATTTGTTAAAAACAATTTTTCAACAGAATAAATTAAAAAAAAATAGTCAATTTATAATGATAAGGATTTAGGCTGCATTCGAAAATCCTCTATCTCTAGATATATAATTAAAAAATTACCTTGTATCTTGTGATCTATTGATATTTTTAAAGATATAAGCTCATCTTGACATTACAATCATCGAGACCTTTCATTTGAGTACCCACATCAATTTTTCATATATTTTATATATTATATATATGTATATATATGAAAAATATATGAAAATGCACGTGGGTACTCATATAAAAGCTCTTGATGAGTGTTACATCAGGACGAGCTTATATCTTAAAAAATATCAATAATTAAGAAATGACCTTGTATCTTGTCAACTACTGACATTTTTAAAGATACAAACTCACCCCGACATTACACTCATCGAGACCTTTCATTTGAGTACCCACATCAATTTTTTCATATATTTATATATTATATATATATATATGTATATATATATGTAAAATCTATCAAAATGCATGTGGGTACTCAAATGAAAGCTCTTGATGAGTGTAACATCAGGATGAGCTTATATCTTTAAAAATGTCAATAGTTAAAAAAGTACAGTGCAATTTAACAAAAGTCATTACTTAATAAACCAAAATTTTATTCATTTATGGTTCACAAATCCCGGCAGTCACGTAGTTGCTCGTTTGAATTATTTCTTCCTTACCAACATCAGCTAGAGAAGAACTAAAACCGCGGTAAATTTGAATTTAAACGAAAAATTTCCCGCAAAATCTAAAAATAGCCCTGACTATTGGAAACTATTTCTTCTATATGTTTATAAATTTTCCATACTCTCCCACGCGCACATGCCCATATAGACTGATCTATATATACACAACACAGACAGAGTGAGTGAATTGAGTTCACCAATCTAACATGAGATGGTTAGTCACAGGGGTTGGCTGGGGATCGATCGATGTCGTCGCCGCGTTGTCGGGATGACACACGCACAGCTCACAATAATATTACCCACACAGTCTCAAGACTAATATATATACGTCGAGAAAAGCAGTGGTGTGATCGAACATCTGCACACTCTTACACAAAAGCCCGGTGGAAGTGTGCGCATGTATTAAATTTAAAATGTATGAGTATGTACCCAGGAGCGGGGGTCTGGGTGGGGTGGGGTAAGAGGTCGCTCCAGTCGAGGGATCTCCAGTGAATATACGCGTCTAGCACTAGCTGTTGGTGTTGCTGCTACTGCTGCTGTCAAAAGTTTAAGAGTCGATTTTTTATCTCCTATTGTATCATATCCTACCGTTTCCCCGCAACAATAATTATAAATTAACATTTTTAAAATTACACAGTTTAAAAAAAAAAATTTACTAATAATAAGTATTAGTAATGATAATAAATATTATTATCTGTTAAATAACGTAGCAACAGAAGAAATATAATAAATTTTATTAATTCCCTGATCAAAACCGCAGCAACCACCAGTACAGTATCATTTATCTCGTGAGTGTACTAGAAGTTGGAATAAAATATTATATTCGACACACACCCATCCAACTCGCTCATAAATATTAATATTTATATTAATATATTCTTCATAAATAAATGGATAAGCTTATCAGATCACAAAGTGTGGGGAAACGGTGTGAGATGTTTTAGTTTTCTTCATTTAAATTTACGCGTGAGTTTAAAAATTTATTTTTCCTTTTTTTATAAATAAAATTTTTTTTTTTTGGAGTAATTATTAATAATTAATAATAAATTTTAGTTTACACAAAATAATTCAAGCGATTGGTGATAGAAGAGAGAAAACGTCAAGGGGCTGTGCCGGTCCGGAGTTTCCTCTGAATTATCGATCAAATACAGCACACTAACCACCGAGTTTAAAACCACCGCTGTCGATTTATATTTTTATTATTAATAATAATAAAAAATAATTGCCACTAGCGGTAATTACTTATTAAGTGCAGTGTGTAAATCTACGTACAAATGTATTTTATTGAGTGACATTTTAAGGGTGTTTCGTGGACCAATCCAACTTGCCAATGATTTTATCAAGTGAGTTTTAATTTGGTTAGTTTTTTTTTTTAATTGTTAAGCTTAATTACTTGGGCGGTATATTATTGTTATTATTTATTCATCTATTGTAAAGATATTTTAATTGCGTGGAAAAATTAAGTATATAGGTGTAATTTATATCTATATATATATATATATATATATATATTTCTTTTATTTTCTTCCGCTTGGTTCTACTGTCGCTGACTGCATTCATGCGCACTAAATACCATTTCTCTTTCTTTCTTTCTTATTATATTTTTTCCATTACTATCTTTTTTTATTTTAGTAAATTTTTTTTTTTAAGAATACAAGAGGTCATTTCACAGTACGCAGACGTTTAAGTACATTTTTTTGACAGTCGTAAGGTTATTTTAATTTTTTTTTTCAAGTTAATTTTTTGTTTTTTTAAAGTTGCAACAGGTTTTAATTTTAATTTTTTTTTAATTTAATTTTATTAAAAAATAATTTAACAATAATAATCATAATAATTTTTAACTATTTATTTATTATTATTATTATTATGTTAAAAATTTTTTTTTCACTTTTTTTTATTTTAAATTTATTAAAAGAAAATAATAATAATAATAATAATAATAATAATTTTTAACTGTTAGTTTATTATTATTTTTTTTTTTATAAAAAAAAAGTAAAAAAAATTTAAAACCTGATAATAATAATATTATTAGTAATAATAATAATAATAATAATAATAATAATAATAATAATAAAAATCAATAATTAAAATTTATTATTATTAATATTAGTATAAATTAATAAAAATTAATAAAATTATTTTTTTGTTGCAGATCAATAAATATAAGGGTGATTAAATGATTGTTTGAACAAGTATTTTAGTGTGAATCAGGTGCACTCTATACATATATAAAAAAAATATATATACACATAAATATATATTGAATAGGGTGGTAATATAAGGAGCACGGGTGTTAAAGGAATAGAAGGAGAAACGTCACGTAGGTGTAGTAGGTGCGTGCGCGATTGTATTATTTTTCATTATATTGTGTCTTGTATATATATTAAATATTATCATAATAATAATAATATAAAAACACTTATTTGATATAATACAATATAAAGTATATAAATATAACTAAATCTAATTAAATACAGTACATAGTACATAATACATAATATAATAAATAAAATAGTGGTGGTGTGGTGTTACTAGGAATACGTAGTGGCGGGGGCTTTGCCGTCCCGCGATAGGGGTGAAAATAAAAAGAGACGGGGGTGGCGTTTGTGAAGGCAACGTGTAGCAAAATGGGCTGTGCTATGTCTGCTGAAGAGCGGGCCGCTTTGGCCCGCAGCAAACAGATTGAAAAAAATCTCAAGGAAGATGGATTGCAAGCTGCCAAGGATATTAAACTTTTACTCCTCGGTATTTTTTATATTTACTCTTATTATTATCATTATCATTATCATTATCATTGCTACTTTCATTATTTTATTGATCTGTTTTTATCATACCCAATCTAACAGACAGCTGACCATTTTTTGGGTTGGTTAAAAATAAATCAGTGCTAAAAAAATTAATGAGATTTTTTAAAAATATTCTATTTATTTTTTTAAAAAAGCCAAAAAATTCAGATCTGATTTTGCACGCCTCATAAGCGAAGCATTGAGGTTGTGCTCTACTCTCGACATTTCGAAAAAAGCAGTTTTCTCAAAACTGAAATTGATTTTTTGTTATTTATATCGCACTTACAGGTTAAAATGAGTACACTTATGTCAAGTCAAATAATTTTTTAGGCACATAAAATATATTTCAATAACAATTTTTTTGTTTAACATAATAAATAATAACATTAAACATAATCTTTTTTGGACGTCCGTGTATGAATGGGTGTATGTGGCAGGGAAATTGGTCGAAAAAATGATCGTACCGGAATAATTTTTTTTTAATTATCTAAAGTAACACACGACAGAATTTCTTAGTTAATATGAGCGTTAAATTCACTGTCGTTAAATTATTATTTATAAAAAACTAATATATGACTGTGGATTTTTTTGTATTTCTATCTATACATTTTATTATAGTATTTTTTTTCCTCACCTTGCAGTTATGGCGCCACTAAACCATAGCAGTGTTTTCTGTTTTTTATTATTTTGCTTTTTATATTTTATTTTAATCAATTTTATTTTAAAAAATGAGATTATGAGGCGTGCACTTTTGGATTTTCCAAACTTTTTTTTTTTTTTAATAAAAATTTAATTAATTAATCACTCGAATTTTTCCTTGATACTTTTTATAATTCAGTATAAATAAATAAATAAATTATTAATAATTTATTTAATAATAATTTTAGCAGATATTTAATCATTTTTAGAATTTTTTTTTAACAAATAAATTATGGCAAAAAAAATTAAAAAAAAAAATTAACATGTAGAAATTTTAAAAAATCAAAAATGCAATTTTTTTAAAATAATTTTCTTCAACAAATTTTTTTGTTAAAAAAAATTAAAAAATTCTCTAGTGACTGCTTAATTTAATGTCATATTTATCAATTAATTTATTATTAATTAAAATTAAATTATATATAATTTTTAAATTATTGATTAAATGCAGTAAAGTATTCAACCTTTAAGAATTTTTACTAAATTATTATTGAGTCTTTATTCTTAAAGTGAACAAAGATTATTATTATATTTTGGGGAAAAATTTTTAACAATAGACTGTCCTGTTTTTTTAATGATCTACATTTGTATTTATTTTTAAAAAAAATTTTTTTTCACCATTATTATCAATAGACTATAGGTATTGAAAGTATGAAGCTATTATGCGAGAATTGTAAAGACTATTTAAAATAAGGGAAAAAAATTGTTAACTTAAATACATAACATGCTGTTGCCATGTGTCGACGTACACTATTTGATGTCGACGTTGTCTCGTTTTCGTTGTCATCATACAGTTAACTCATTTAGTATTTATTTTTATTAATATCATTGTCATTATTTTTTTATTGGGGTAAAAAAATTTTTATTAAGTGATAAAAATGAAAATGAAGATTTTTAAGTAAACGCAAAAGAATAAAAATTCTAATTCTAAATTAAAGTCTTACGAAGGTCACTGATGAAAATATAACAATGACGATAAATTTTAACACGCAAAAAAAAGCATATTTTATATTTAATGTTTACGTGTTTAGATTTTATTTTTATGAAGTTTAAATTTATTGTGCATTAAAATTAAAAATAAAAATATATATATTTCTGGGGATTCACTGCTCTGATAAATATTGCTTAAAGTATTATGTATTTATATACATATAATAGTCATAGTTAAGTCGGTGGATCTATAGACGGGTATTACAGAAGGCAACTTAACTGCAAGCTTTTTTAAATAAAAAAAAAAGGGAGACTGCGGTGAGCAGGAAAGCAAGTTCCGCTTCTACGTCATATCCGCCTATAAAATACATTCTAGTAGTAATGAATTTTTTATTTATTTTTTTAAATTCACACTTTTTTTGCTCTTATTTTTTAATCTGGCGGAATGTCATATAATGAATGATTATTTATTTTTTTAGGAGCTGGAGAGTCTGGGAAAAGTACGATCGTGAAACAGATGAAGTAATTTTTATTTTTTTTTAAAACTATTAATTAAAAAAAAAGTTTGAGATTTAAAATTTATACACTGATAAAAAAATTGACGGCTCAAGAGCCGAATTCTTGAACCAAGAATATCGTTTTGAAGAAAATGATTTTCTTGAGTCAAGAGATTATTCTTGATTTATCAATATTAATGCTTAGTATTTATTAGCTTTGTTTCTTTTAATTTTTAACTAGCAGCTTTGCAATCATTATGTGACTGCCGTGACTTGTGAACTAAAAAAAAAATTAAATTTTGTTTTTTTAAATAATGAATTTTGTAAAAATGCACTGTACTTTCTTGAATATTGACATTTTTAAAGATATAAGCTCATCATGATGTTACACTCATCAAGAGCTTTTATTTGAGTACCCACATGCATTTTGATATATTTTTCATATATTCATATATATAATATATATAAATATGTAAAATATATGAAAAATTGATGTGGGTACTCAAATGAAAGATCTCAATGAGTGTAACATCAAGATGAGCTTATATCTTTAAAAATGTCAATAGTTCACGAGATACAGGATCATTTCTTAGTTATGTATCTAGAGATAGAGCATTTTAGAATGCAGCCTAAATACTTATCATCATAAATTGATTATTGGTGAGGATGATATGAAACCATGAAAAGGCACACCTCCAAGTCAAGACTTTTCTAATGATACCAAATTTAACCATAAAAACCCATTTTATCATATAAATACATTGTCCACAAAATTTTTCTTATTCTCTTAGTAATATAGATAGTTTAATTTTTCTTGTCTCAAGAATTTATTTTCTTGACTCAAGAAAATCATGTTCTTCAAAATGGTATTATTAGTTCAAAATTTTGGCTCTATATCAATGGAGTCAAATTATTTTTTTTATCAGTGTAAATAAATATTAGATAATCGAGGAAGTAATAAACGAACAAACTGTTGCGGACTCATCCTCTTAGCATTATCACAATATAAAGAAGAAATCGATATTAACACGTTCAGTTACAATATAAGCATAGACATAGACTGGCACTTGAGGTGTAGTGAGCAGTTTCAGTGAAGCATGCTTATACTGAGACACGCGACAATAATATTTTTCGACTAACGTTATTATAAAACATTCTTGTCACTACATGTCTTTACTACTTTTTACACGCGAGTTAAGTACATCACTTATGACTTTTAATGCCAATTGCCGTCTATTAATACTCATTACATATTACTTATCGGTTATGAGTTATAACTTATGACTAACGACTAATCTCTCAAACTTTTTTCAACAACTATTTTTAAAATAATCTTAACTCAAGCTGACATTTTTATATTTTTTTTTCTTTTTAATAGAATCATTCACGAGAGTGGATTTACACCAGAAGACTTCAAGCAGTACAGGCCTGTTGTGTACAGCAATACGATACAATCATTAGTCGCTATTTTAAGAGCAATGCCAAATTTGGAAATTAATTACTCATCTAATGAACGACAGGTGATTTTTTTTTATTATCGTCTAGAATAATCGATAATTTATTTTATTAGTTTGTATTAAATCAATTCGCGGAATTGTTTGCTAAAAAAATTCAGGCTTATGTTACATTTGCTTTCTGAGAATTGATATTATAATGAGTACAATGGATAATATGGAGAATATCTTAAATTATCTCAGAAGAATTACGAGTATTAATAATTGTTTTTTAATCATTTTTTTTTATATAAAATTACACAAATAAATTTTTTTATAGACTAAAAATATTAATTACAATTTATTTTTTATTGTAATTAATACTGGCTTTTCGCTCTAATCTCAAGAAACATATATTGCAATATTATTAATTGCACCGTTAATTGTTTTGAATTCATAATTAATATTTTATAATTCGAAGAATAAATAACTAAATATAAATAAATAAAAAATTAATACACTACTCACAAAAATTAAGAGAATAAAAAAAAATGCAAATTTTTATCAGATTTATAACGGGCTGTATTTCAGCGGAAAATAATCGTATAGCAAAAATAAAAAATGCATTTTAAAGCTCCAAGAGTGTTCTTTTTGAATCTTGAGGTCAAAATTTTTTAGAAATTACGGTTTTGACATAATACAGCGAAAAAAAAAATTATCGAAATTTTTTATCTTTTTTTTTCGCTCTACGGAAGCGAAAAATTTTTTCACGGGCTCAGAAAAATTTTTTCCCACAAAGCGATCTTATGGAACAGGTAGCCTGTTTATCTAGCTTCAATTGAATTTTTTATTTAACTTGATACGACAATTTGTCGCGGAGATCTCACTATAAATATTTATGAATACTCTAATTAAAATACAAAGTTTATTAATAATAAATCAATTAAATTGATTTGATTAGAGTAAAGCGTGCAATTGCAACAGGTGAAGAAATAATCAACTTTAACAAGTACATGGTCGAGGTTATAAAGGTCTATGACCATTTAAAAATATATTTCAAAATAAAAGACAAATAGAATAAATAAAATTTTAATTTTTTTAGTTTGATTTTAATTATCAATTGATACTTTTTATATAAGTCAGATTAATTTGTTAAACTAATCTGTATGAATAAAAAAACAATATTAATGCTTAATATGCAGTTAGGTTTTTTTAATAAAGAAAAAAAAATATTTATTAGCTTTTAGCAACATAATAAATAAAATAATATAAATACAAGCTTAAAAAAAATAAAAAGATTATTAAATTAATTTTTTAAGTCATTAAAAAATTGTCAAAATTTAGCTTATTTGTTAATTTTATTTAATAAATTAACGCGAATAAAAATAATAGTTTTTGCCGGAATAAATCTTATATAAAAACACATTACAATGATTACTCATTGCGGCGCTAAGAGTCAAGACATTGAGTACCGTTGTGGATGTGGTTTGCCACGCTCCAACGATTATCTTAACTTATGAATGAAGCATTCAATTCAATCATATATGTATGTATATATACATACATTACAGAATTACTGAGTAGTGTGGGTATACAAGTGCACATACACTTGGGCCGTACGACGGGGATTCATGCGGGAGATTAAGTTTAAAATAATAAAGGCACTTATCAAATCGCGGGGAAAAAAAATATTTATATTATTATTATAATTTATTAATTGAAATATACTTTTTCAGACTGATGGTAAAATGGTATTCGACGTTATTCAACGAATGGAAGACACTGAACCATTTAGCGAAGAATTATTAGCGGCTATGAAAAGGCTGTGGGCCGATAATGGGGTGCAAGAATGTTTTGGAAGAAGTAATGAATATCAATTAAACGATTCTGCTAAATAGTACGTATTATTATTATTATTATTATTATTTTTATTTTTATAATAAACATGAAGGTCATGTATGGGTTGAATTTGGTCCATGAGCTCCATGTGTCAGCTTTTAAATTAAAAAAAAAACGATTTGAAGTATATTTATTTATTTATTTATTAATTATTAATGCCAAGGCACAGGCAAGGTATTTAAATTACATTTGAAATGTGTATGAATATAAGTATATATCGAGTTATTACAATGATTACTTAAAAATATATAGAGGTGCAAAATAAATAAGAAGATATAAGAATATATTCAATCGAATAATTAATTATAATATTTAAATGTTAATTTTGATTTATGATTATGAATTTTTTGATTTTTGAATTCTGATTGCTATATATGAGAAAAAAAGGTTCACTTGAGCCAAGAAAATATTTTTCTTCCTAATTATTTTCTTGAGCGAAAAAAAAAATTTTTTTTGATAAGAAATTTCACTTATTCCAACAAAATTAATTCTCTTGCTTTAAGAAATACGTAATTTAATCCAAAAAAATTTAAGTCAAGAAAATCTTGTTGTTTTGAGAAAATTCAGCCTCTTGCTCCAAAAAATTGAGTTCTTGATAGAAGTAAATTTTCTTGTCTTGAGAAAATTTGTCTCTTGCTCCAAAAAATTAAATATAAAGATAGAAGTAAATTTTCATAAATATTTTTATTGATTAACATGTCAAATGGGAAGATCAAATAATATTTTATCATTTTTTTTCTTCAATATGTATAATTGCACGGTAGAATAATATAAATTGGGTATCAAATATTCAAGAGAAAAATTTTCTCAAGGTGAGAAAATTTTTTTCTCAGCTGAAGTAGGCAGCGCTACTTCCCTAAATTATCTAAAAATCTTGATCAAATATAAAAATTTATTGTATCAAGTATTTATGATAATTTGAATAAAGAAAAAATTACTTTCACCAAGAATATAATTTCAAGAAAAGTTTTTACTTCGAAAATTTTCTTGAGCCAAAAATTTTGTTCTCCAGTCAAGAAATTTATACACATGTGTATAAATGAAAAGTTGTAGCAGGAGTTGATCAAGGGATTTTGTTGGCCTTGTTCCCTTGAAGCTGATGTAGCTCTTGGAGGAAGGAGAGTAGGGTAAATCCCGTGCGACATGAATATTCTTCTCGAGTGAAAGAAACGGTTGAGCTATAAAGTGCTATTGCTACACTACTGTGTACTACTAACTTTACGCTACACTAGCCGTAGTCGTAGTGTAGTTGGAGGTGAGGAGATATTACATGAGTAGATGCCGATGGTAGATGTGGAGCATTCATGTAGGCGAAGGTGTGGGTGCCGGGGTATTATATCGAGGGATAAAGACCAAGATAGGATCAAGGTGCGGGATAAAATAAAATGAAAAGAGAGGAACGACAGCCGTGATATTCCATGTACACGTACAAATGTCGAGCGTGTAGTTTAAGTTACGTCTATGGATATATGTATATGTAGCCACGATATCATATATATGTATACACGAGTTGAGAGTTCACCACTGTGGATAGGAGTCTGTTGTATTGATCTGGAATGACGTCACGCCACGCCCGTGTCACGTGGTGGTTAAGTTACTGATGCTGGCGCCGCCCTACCCTTTGGGTTCTGGCCTTTTTTTCTTCGGCTGATGCTTTTTTGATCCTGATAAATAATATCAAACATGGATATCTGAGTTTTAGGCTCTACTTGTATTGCTGTTTGAGGCTCACTCAACACTCCAGAATTTAGATTGTAGATTTTTCAGGATGACATTATTGGATTTTAGGTTTATTTTCGGAGATTGAGTCTCTTCTTAAATTAAAGAATTTTTGGTAATTATTTTTATAAGTGGGGTCAAAACTATTTTTGGCCATAAAAAATAGATGAATTTATAAATCATCATAATTTTTTTTTAACTTCTTTGTTTTTACACCGGATTTATGGTGGTGATATTTAAAATATCAAAAAATTAATATTTTAATTAAAAAATCATTTTTGTAATTTGGAAAAAATTTTGGCTCTCATAAAAATTCTGATAGACAATTTTTTAGAATAAATAATTCATTTTTTTATCTATTTAAAAAAAAATATATATTAATAAAATCAAATAAAAATTTTCGTTAAAAAAAATTAAAATTGAAATCGTTGAAAATATTTACCGAATTTTTTAGCTGATGAAAAAGACATCTTCATCTTCATTAAAGTTGGTCAAATTTTCAAGAAATTGTGTGCGCTTTTATTCTTAAAAATTCATATTCATTATTAAGGATTATACTTGATTGAAGTCGGCTTATCGATTAACTTTCACTTGGAATTTTTTAAACCCGAGGTTTAATTTATTTATTTCTTCTTAGAGATATAAATTTCCAGAATGAGTTTTGTTAAGAGATTCCTTGTTTGCCAAAAAGTTATTATTAAAGTTTCGAGTGGGTTTTTAACGTTACTGTTTTTTTTTTTTTTTTTTTCAGTTTCCTGGATGACTTAGATCGATTAGGGGCTAAAGATTATCAACCAACGGAGCAAGATATTTTGAGGACTCGGGTCAAAACAACAGGAATCGTTGAAGTACACTTTTCATTTAAAAACCTTAACTTTAAGTGAGTATATATTTACTTCTTAAGTAGTTTTTATTGAGCGTATAAATATACATACTTGAGAAAGTTATCGGGGCTTTTAAGATCGTTTAGATTTCATTTTTTTGGGGAGAAAATTTTGGTGCGCAATAGATAGAATGAATAATTGTTATTATTGATTTTGTATATATTGAACTGATGGAGGGCCATCTCTCTATAATATTTTACTGTGTTAAAAAAGGAAGATATTATTTTTGAAAAATTATTTAATTAAAAACATTGTAATTGACTCATAAAAAATTTTTAATTACTTCTATCCATTAGTTGATTAAAAAATTTAAGAGAATAAATAAAATGTAATTTGTTTAATAAATTTTACCAAGAAAAATTTTAATTTTAACTAGAAACCTTGCAGTCACTATGTGAACTATAAATAAATAAAATTTTGCTTTATTAAATAATGACTTTTGTTAAATTGCACTGTACTTTCTTAAATATTGATGTTTTTAAAGATATAAGCTCATCTCGATGTTACATTCATCAAGACCTTTCATTTAAGTACCCACATGCATTTTGATATATTTCTCATATATACATATATATAATATATAAAATATATGAAAAATTGATGTGGGTACTCAAATGAAAGGTCTCGATGAGTGTAACATCGGAATGACCTTATATCTTTAAAAATGTCAATAGTTCACAAGATACAAGGTCGTTTATTAATAATTGACATTTTTAAAGATATAAGCTCATCCCGATGTTACACTCACCGAGACCTTTCATTTAAGTACCCACATGGCAACTTTGATATATTTATATATATATAGGTATTTGTGAAATATATAGATATATAGATAGATATAAGCTCATCCCGACTTTACACTCACCGAGACCTTTCATTTAAGTACCCACATGGCAACTTTGATATATTTTATATATATATGGTATTTGTGAAATATATAGATATATAGATATATAAAATATATGAAAAATTGATGTGGGTACTCAAATGAAAGGTCTCGATGAGTGTAACATCGGGATGAGCTTATATCTTAAAAAATATCAATAGTTCACAAGATACAAGGTAATTTCTTAATTATGTGTCTAGAGATAGAAAATTTTCGAGTTTTCGAGTTTTAATAATTATTCATATCGAAAAGTCACGTAGAAATTTTAAAAATACTAAATTCAAATATTTGCTTATGTATATAAAATATAAAAGTAGTATAAGTATAAGAATAAAAAATAAAATAGAATAATTGGTTACTTAATAAATTTGTTTGGTAAGCACGCTAGTTAGTAGGGCTTTAATACATATAATGATAATAATAAAATAATTATTTTGTCTCCAGATTATTTGATGTGGGCGGTCAACGAAGTGAGCGTAAAAAATGGATACATTGCTTTGAAGACGTCACGGCAATTATCTTCTGTGTGGCTATGTCTGAATACGATCAAGTTTTACACGAAGATGAGACTACGGTAATTTATTATTTAATCTAAAATTGATTTTATATTTAAGAATATAAATATTTCTGAGCAATTAGGGTTTATATATGTACCTAGATAGACGTCATTGTCTAGAGACTATCCATAGTCTTTTTTATAAATGATAAAAAGTAGGTTGCAAATGCCTCTGGATTTACTCTGGTACTTTTCTTTTCTTTTTATACATCTGAAAAAATTTACATTATAGTCTGCAAATAATGAGACACTTTTCCAAGCAATGGATCTCATACTTTACTTAAGAGCTAAATTTGTCTTTTATAAAAAAGTAAAACACGTCGATAATATTAAAAATGAATTACTGGCTGTAAATAATTTAGAATTAATTCGCTGGATTATCATTATTAATATTAATATGTTTAAAGTTAATGATGTTAATAAAAATAAGGTGGTAAGACGTAGGAGAATTAGAGTGAGCAAAATGAATCGTAATGAAGGGATCAATCAGCCGGGTCATATCGTGTAGGAAGACTTTCATTCACGGATAAAATCCACGTAACGCGGTGTCAGTTTATCAATTGACAGCATTATACATTAGGTGTAGTTTGTAGCTGTTAGCAGTTAAGTCAGTCGCAGTTGCTCGCTCGAAGCCGTAATTGACCATTTTCATTCAGCTTTTATATTTATGAGCCAATTATACGCTGATAGAGTTAATTATGAGCTCTGTCAGTAGACATGATAAAGTAGTAAACGTTGATTTGGGTGTTACGTAACTTAACAGTCCGCTGAGACGTTTATTATCAATTATCAACTGTCAATTATTTATGGATATTGCTATCACTGTTCATTTTTTACTCAAGGGTGATTCGAAATTGTAATTGGTGTCATGTTTAAATGTCAAGTCACGAATATTCGATTGATTATTAAATCATTGTTCATTTGAATAAAATTTATTTATATTTTGCTGCAGTAATAAATCAAGAGACATTTTTTTAAACTACCATAGAAAAAATTCTCATAAAATTTATTTTTTAAGTATATTTAATTAATTTTCTCAATTGAGAAAATAATTTTTTACTATCAACCTTGCAGTAATTATGTTAACTATGAATAAATAGAATTTTACTTTATTAAGTAATGATTTTCGTTAAATTTCACTGTACTTTTTTAACTATTGACGTTTTTAAAGATATAAGCTCATCCCGATGTTACACTCATCAAGAGCTTTCATTTGAGTACCCACATGAATTTTTGATATATTTTTCATATATACATATATATAATATACATAAATATATGAAAAAATTATGTGGGTACTCAAATGAAAAGTCTTGACGAGTGTAACATCAAGATGAGCTTATATCTTCAAAAATTTCAATAGTTCACAAAATAAAAGGTAATTTCTTAATCATGTATCCAGAGATAGAGCATTTTCGAATGCATCCTAAATACTTATCATAATAAATTGACTATCGGTGAGAAAAAAGTAAATTATAAACAGTACTAAAAGTTTTTAAGAGTATAATTGTAAGAAATTATTATCACCCCGCAAAATAATTACAACAGTGTTTTTTTTTAAATCTCAACATTATTTAAAGTCGGGTAATTATTTACTTACGAAAGAGTTTAATAACTTCTTATTTACAGTCAGATAAAGCATTAAATATTTATTTTTATAAAATAATCTTAAGTACGTAATTTAAATAATTAACTTTTAATTTAAAAGAGTTAACGAAACAAGTTGAGAAGTCATGTAACTTTTAAATAATTGTTTGTTGAGATCAGAAATTATAAATACTTGTTCAATGATAATATTTATTTTAAAGAGAATGTTTTATCTGTAATATTGATTCTAGAATCGGATGCAAGAGAGTCTTAAATTATTCGACTCAATATGCAACAACAAATGGTTCACGGACACTTCGATAATTTTATTTTTAAACAAAAAAGATTTGTTTGAAGAGAAGATTCGTAAGTCAGCGCTCACTATCTGTTTCCCCGAATACAATGGTATGTTTTCATTTTTATTATTAAATCTTTTATAAATTATTACAGTAATAATAATTATAATACATTAATTAAAAACAATAGGAGCTCAAGAGTACAGTGAAGCAGCTGCGTACATACAGGCGCAATTTGAAGCGAAAAATAAGTCGACCACAAAGGAGATCTACTGCCACATGACCTGCGCCACGGACACAAACAACATTCAATTTGTGTTTGACGCAGTAACAGACGTGATCATCGCCAATAATCTTCGCGGTTGCGGTCTTTATTAGAATTTTATTATTAATATTAATATTATTATTAATACTAATACTAATACTAATACTAAAATTAATATTAACTCTAATATTAATATTATTTTTTATTATTGCTATTACTATTACAACAACCACAAGTATACCTATCACTATTATTTCGTACTAAAACTTTTAACCGCGAAAAACTCGACGAGTGTTTTTTTTTTTTAACAAAAGCATCGATCGTCAAGCAGCTACGGTTTATCTAAGTGCTAATCGATAAATTGTCATCACGTGAGTAATTAGCCGGATTGCTCCCGAACAGTATGCACACGTGTAACTCGTGCTTCTTTTCTCCGTGACTAAAATTATTAACTAATAATAATAATAATAATAATAATAATGATAATAATAATAATAAATAATTAATAATAATAAATAATTAATAATAATAATTAATAATAATAATAATGAAAAAGGATTTAACTAACAACTTTTATTAAATGCTTTAAATAAATTATTTATATTTTTAATTTATAAAACTATTAATTAATATACAGGACAATCGCATTATTATTGATTTATCGGAGCCGAGTTTTACCGTCGCTTTATACGGAGTAAATTATTTTATTAAACAAAAAAAAAAAAAATAAGATACACGCCTTTTGATCCAATCGTAATGGATAAATTTGTTATCCTTGTCAAGCGAATGCTAATTAATCCATTAAAGGATATACTGACACCGAGTTTTTTTTATTAATAATTTTATTATTTTTTTAATTATTTTATTTATTTATTTATAATTAAATGAAAATTAAGTTAGCCGACATCTAAAAATTTTTAGAATTTTATTTTATTAAAAAAAATTACTACAAAAATAAATAAAAAAAAAATTTCATTTGTAAAAAATTTGAAAAACTATGAGTGCAATTTTTAAAAAATATTTTTTAGCTGTAAATTAATAAATGCAAAATAGTCAAAAAATTAAAAACGTCGGCTAACTTCATGATTATTATAATTAATAATACTAAAGAAACTAGAACTAAAAAATATTTTTTTAAAATTGCACTTATAGTTTTTAAAGTTTTTTATAAATGAAATTTTTTTTTATTTTTCGTGATGATTTTTTCAATGAAAAAAAAATTCTAAAAATTTTTAGATGTCAGCTAACTTAATTTTCATTATAATTAATATTTTTATTATCAACGCACATAATGCACAAATTAAATAAGCATTGAATTATTTTAAAATAAAATAATAATAATTTTCTTTAAACACAATGTGATAAAGAATGAACCAAATACGTGCCAATGAGCATGAAATTATTATTATTAAATTGTACGTTAAATCCTTTATCTAAAATATTAAAAATAATTTCTACAATATTAATTGAACAAACGTACAAATAAACTCGGTTGTCGGTTAATTAATGCTTGAAAAGCACAATATTAAAATGCACTTTAATAAAATTATTATTAAAGCGAACTGAATTATTTTAAGTGCGGGCTGAAAATTTAAATAATTATTTCTTGTTTAATCTGTTTATTTAAATAGACAACTGCCACGCTTGACGATTTACCTAAATTTAGACTTACGGTAACTCTTAAAAGAATAAATAAAATAAAAACAATAATAATAATTAAAATAAAAAGCCTGCATTTTTAAGGAAGATTTGGATCCGGTTAATAAATACGTTGTTTCAAAATAAATAATTGTAACAGGCGAAGTATAAAAATATATTTGTAAGAATCTACCGATCATTGCGTTATTTACTTATATATAAATATATAAATATTATATATATATAAATATATAATTAATTGATTAATTAATATTGAAAGATAATTGAGTGTGGTCTCTGTATACATGAGAAAAAAATATATTATTAATTAATTGATTAACTAGTTTAACTTGTAAATGTATGAGTGATTATTTAAGTGTGCGATGTACATGTGCCATCATTTGCTAGATCGGTGGAGAGGATTCGTTATTATTTATATTATTATTATATGTAATTGTTTACGTTTTTTCACGTCCACACGAGTCGTAAGTCTGTTAAATCGTCGAGTATCGCCGACTTTAAAATTTATTTGTTGTAAAATTCAGTCGCTTGGAAATTTTTTTTTTTATTTAGAAAATTATTATATTTTTTTTTTATTTTAAAATTTTTTTTTCAAAAAATTATTAAATAATTTTTTTATTTAAAAAATTATTGAACTTTTTTTTTTAAATTATTAAATTTTTTTTTTATTAAAAAAATTAATAAATTTTGTTTTTATTATTTAAAAAATTTTAAAACAGCGACTTTAATTTAAAAATATCAATTTTGAGATTGACGTTAATTACTACACAAATGCTTTTGATGTCTAGTCTAATTATTTCATTTAAAGTTATCATGTAATTAATTTTTTAATTTACAATCAGTTACCATTATATTTAAATTGCAGACGAATTTTATAAAGCATTTACGTACAAATTTTATTATTATATTATCTCATAATTTTACAATTATTTATAACATTAACGTCAATTTTACGTGCCATTTTCACATTAATATTTTGTAATAAAAATGTCATAAGTGCATTTCACAAAACATTCTTAACTGAAAAAATTTTTATTGTCTAAAAAAAAATTAGTATTATTAATTTTAATTGTTAATTTTAATTACTTCATATTATAGTTAAAAAAAATAAATATCCATCTAACAATTATTATTTTTTATAACTATTGAATTTTAATCTAGTCACAGAATAATACACGCATACCATTAACGCACAGCCTTTCAATATTTTTATTTTAAATGTACAAATTATTATATCGGCACAATTGTTGTGATACTCAATTGTGTAATTTATTATTATAATTAATACTGTTACTTTGAATGTTTAGTAAACAAAATTTATCAAATATTTGCTATTAATAATATAATTGTATGCTTCCATTTTAAATTAAAATTATAACAGCATTCCAAATATTAATTGCAGTCGATAAATATTAATTAATATTTCACAAAGCATTCACTAATTTTTTTGCAATAGTTTTTTAAACATTCCGGGTCTATTATTTTATTTTTTTGCCACCTAATTATTTTTAAAAATAATTTTTTATTTAATATTACAAAGACTTACGTCTCACGCGGTGTTCAATTTTATTAAAAAATATTTTAATTAAAAACCTTTTTTTGTGAATAAATATTCGCCCATACTCTGCATCATAATGTACTTTCTATCATAAATGAATGAAAAAAATAAAAAAATAAAAAAAAAACAATTAAATCAGTAATTAAAATAATTATAATAATAATATTAATATTTAAAAAAAAATAATAAAAAAATGAAAAAAAAAAATGATGATTAATAATAATGAAAAAATTATAGCGTTATATCGTAATTGTAATTGTAATAATTAATGGATAATGATTAATGATAATAATATAATGATGATCGTAATATTAAAAATAAATGTTTAATTGATTATGATAAATCAGGAGCGCACGCATTTAATTATTGATTTATAATAATGATAATGATGATGATCAATATTATTATTATTTTTATTATTATTATTAATTGGAAAATAATTTTTTTTTGGTCTCATTTTATTTTTTGTGAAAGAGTGTTGTGTAAGAATTTTAAAAGAGAAGAAAAAAATAAATAAATGTTGAATTAAAACACGACTCTTACAAAGTACCATTAAGAATAATAATAATGATAAATAAATTATTAAAATTAAAATGAATAAATCTCTTATTATATTCAAATTATGTAATAATTGTCCATACATCCTGAAAATGTCAGAATAAACTTGGATTTAAAAAAAAATTACTATTTTTAGGTTCATACATTAATTTTATTTTCATTTTTTTTTATTTTATAATTTTTTTAATTAATTATTCATTATTTAAATTTATAAATATTTTTGTATTCTATTTTATATTTTTTTTAAACTTAAAAATTTCAATTTTTTTTATATACTTAAAAACAAAAGACAATTGTCACGCAAACTATTAATTTATTTACATTAAAATTATCTGTAACCTCTTCATAAAAAAAACATCAAAAATTAAATGTGAACCATAATGATTATGAAGCCAGTATTTATCCTACTATTAAATCTATTGCAATTGATAAAATTTCGGGATGTTGAACTCAGTACCGAAGCAAATAGTCCTGACACTCCAATCTTCGCCTCCATTTCTTCTTGAAATTATCCTTGCAATCACCATAGCTTTACTCTTGGCCATTTCTTTGGTCACCAGACTTCAATATTTCCTCGTAAGTATCCATTAAATTTAATAAATCATTAACAACAATTATATAGAAATCTATTCATTATTTATTTACTTCTTTATGAGGGTCAAAAAATACATAAAAATTTTTTTAATAATACATAGATCAACATTATATCAATTTTTAATAAAAAGTCAGCCTAGGTATATTTATATATATGTACATATGAAAAATATATCAAAAATGCATGTGGGTACTTAAATGAAAGCTCTTGATGAATGTAACATCATGATGAGCTTATATCTTTAAAAATGTCAATAGATCACAAGATACAAAGTCATTTCTTAATTAAGTATCTAGAGATCGTTTTCGAATGCAGCCTAAATACTTATCATAAATTGACTATTGGTTAATAATTAATAACTAAAAATATTTACAGGGTTATACAGAAGAACCTTTGATATCCTTCAACTTCTTAAATCCCCGTCGGCGCCAAATATCTTCTTCAACATCCGGTTCCAATGAAAGTCTCACCCTCTTTCCAGTCCGCCATGTGAATTCCTCCCCGAATTTCAAAAATACCTACCTCACTGAAAGTGATATTATAAATGGCAGTCTCTTCACTATGGATATAAGTTCTTCTTACAATCATAACACGGAGTATCCCTTCTCCGTGGCCTACGATTACGGGTACTACCGCCATAAGTTAATAGAAAGTAACCTAAAGCGGCACTACGGAAGCCAACCCCCAGGTAATGTCGTCCTAAATTCCCTTCACCTCAGTTCCATCGACTCCGCAACAGGCCTTAGGCTCAGCGAAAAATACAACCACAGTATCTTCGAGCTAGCTCCCAATTCCGACCATAATCAGGAGCGCGACCAGCTGATCACCCTCATCCACCCTCGGGACCATTTTTTGAGAAAGGGCAGTCGAAGGTACGAGTCTGCCGACAAGTCTACGGAGACTTTGTTTATTAGCAATGTTGATAATCACAATTTTAAGGAAGAAGAAAGCGAGTTTCCTGTCAAGGAAAAAATAGCTTCTTTACCACGAAGAAAAACTAGGATTAAAAAAGACAAATCTTCTAGTAATAATGTTAAAGTATTTAAGGTAAAAATTGACTCTTTTGATAATTCTCGGCCGGTAAGTCCTTTTAAGAACAGAGAAATTTACGAAATTCCGGAAGTTAAAACCGAAATTACGGAAAAGGAGGCAGAAATTTATAATACAAATTTAGAGTCTAAATTTTTGGATAACAAAGAAGAAATTTGTAAAAATGAAATTATTAAATCAAGACCTGGAAGCCCGGTTAAGAAAATAAAGGAAAGAAAATCGAAGATCAAAATGAATTTGAAGGTTAAAGAGAAATTGAGTGAGGTTAGGGATAAAAAGTACGATTCATTAATAATTGATGATAAAAATAAAGAAGGAGAAAATTTGAAGCCGGAAGAAGAAATAGAAGTTAATAAAAAAATAAGTTCTGCGACTGTTGAGTTGAATTCGCCGAAAAATAATTTTATAGAGAAAAATGTTGATAAAAATATTTCAAGTGAAAAATTATGCGGAGAAAGTGAAAATTTGGATTGTAAATTTAAAGAAGAAATAAAAGCCGAGGCGGAAAAATGTTTGGCGGAAATGAGCGACGTGGTTTCAAAAAGTTACGGGAGTTCTAGAGGAGAAACTTTAAGGGTTGAAAAGCAATCGCGACCCAACACTTCCAGCGGAGTACTTTCGAGAGCTTTCAAGCATTTGTCGCCGAAGGTAAACTCCAGACCGCGATCTTCTGGAGGCGGGTTCGCGTGGGAAGTTCCTGATATCTCGGGGAAAGTTTGGTCGGATAATAATAGTGAGGAGAAAATAAACAGAAGCAAGGATGAAAGTAAGAAACCAGGGACTCCCACGGGGTTGAAAAGACCCAGGTCGGCGAACCCCCAGTTCTTTAGGAAGAAATCGGACCCGGTTTTACCCGTATTAGAGAGCATTATTGATCTGACTTATGATGTTCCTCTGGATTTGCTGGATGAAGAGTGTTTAGTTGGGGGGAAAGAAGACCAAAATCGGCCATTGGAACTCAAGCACCCGGGCTTTGATGAAAATCAATCGGATTCTGGCAGTGGGTCGAGGGATAAGAGGGGGAAGAGCAAGGTTAAAGGAGGGAAGAAAGGGAAGAGTGAGAAGATTTGTCAAGGTCCTCAAGATAGTTTACTTCAAAAGAAACCTTTTTTGAGGTCCAGGTCTGGGAGGTACTCTGTGTTGAAAGTTACTAAATTTAAGAATAAAAAGTAGAAGCTTTTGGAATTTTTATTAATAAAGTAATTTTTAAAATTGTTTTTTTGTTTGGAATTTTTTTTTAATTGTAATGGATTTAAAAAAAAAATTTAATATTTTTGAGAGAATTTTTTAACTTTACGGTTATTATTTTATTTTTTTTTAGGATAAAAAAATCGAAAAATTAATATTTAGAAAAATTTTCTTAAATTTTATTTTTAGTAAAATTTATAGAAAAAATTTGATTTTTATTAATATAAAAAAATAAATTAGATTAAATTTAAAAATTTTACATATTTTTTTTGAGCATGTTCCCAATTTTTTAAAATCATCGCTTTTCAAAGCGGAGAGCTAAAATAATTTTTGTCCGAGGCAATATTTAATACTTAACACCCACTCAACACCCGTCTCATAATTCAATATTAAATTTTATCATCCATGAAACTCCACTTGACAAATATAAATTTCTATATACTCTATTATTAATCTTAAGATAAAAGCAATTTATATATCTTATTTATAAAAATAAGAATAAGAAAGAATTATTATATGAGGATGAGAAGTATATTATAACAAATGATCAGCAAAGTCCGAGTGATATTAGCGCTGTAAAGTGTTCAAAAAAGTGAAGGAGCGTTAAAAATAGCCTGATACGAATTCGAGTTTTAGTTTGAGAGCAATAACCACATAAGTGCTGGGTATATTTTTTGCTGACGTACTTTTATTTTTCTTCTCTCTCTCCTTCCGTCACGAATTATTGGATTACATGTAATGTAATGTGTGGACGAGGAAATTCAATTGATACTCACTTTTATTATTTCCAGTCTTTCTAGTTTTTTATTCTTATTTTATTTTATTTTACACATTTATTTATAAAGCATTATTCATTTATAGTCTACTATTTTATTTTAACTCTAAATTATTATTATTATTATTATCATTATTTATTAATAATAAATATTAATTACAATTTCAATAAATAATTAAGTTGATATAAATATAAAAATAAACCTAAAGCTAAATAAAATGGTATCAAAGAGAATCGGTGATTTGAAATTATCGATTAGAGCCTCGGTTAATAATTGATGCCGAGAATCAGTCGATCGAATGACGTTAATACTGCCAGAGTTTCCTAATTAACGAAATAGCTCCGTTAATTACCAATTAGCTCATTCCAGTCTACTCTGTCTAGCGGACTAAAGACTGACGAGGTTCGTGTTATATTAGAGCGCCAGCTCATTCGCTTTGTCCGGATGAAAAAGGCAAAAACACAAAAACAGACTCATCAGATTTAAATCTCTTTGAATTACATCCATAATCTTGTAATATTTGATCCCAGCAGACGAGTTGAGAATCCAAATAATTGCTGGCGCTCGCACGAACAATTCAAGAGTTCAACTGAATCGAATTACTCAAATTAAAAAATATAAAGAAGAAATAAAAACAAGCTGGTAGAATTGTTTTTGTTTTTCATTAATCTCTGGTGGCCTCTTCGCTCTTCTCTCTGCTCTTTTATTACAATCTATCGGATGTCGAGTTTGAATTTAATCAATTACACCTGTTGCTAATTGCGTTGGGCGATTGCTGATACCACAGATTAATTCGTGATCAATTTCTCGCTCCACAAGACAGAGTGTGCAGATACATATTGTCAGGGTAAGCAATATTTTGCCTTATATTTATTTATTTTAAATTTTTGTTTCGATTTTTGAAATTTCTTCAAGTAAATGGCCTTTTTTTTTTTTTTTATTTAACACTGATTCAATGATTAAAAATTTTTTCGCGTTATTAATACCAAAAAGGTGCATATAAATTTTTTTTCTGATCAAATTGAAAATATGTAGAGTATAAATTCGTAGAAAAAATAAAAAAAAAAAATTTCTGCATTACGCTCTTTTTTTGGCTTTAAGAAAAAAAAATTTTTATTTATATTTTCTGATTTTTTTCTTAAAAAATTGAACTTTTGAATTTCTGGTTAGGAAAATTTTTTTTTATTAATTTTGACGTTTTGATTTTTTTTTCTCAAATTTTATAGTCAGAAATTTGGGAAATAAAATTGAAATTTTTTTCATATGCTCTTTTTGCATTAATAACACTATATATCGTAATTATTTTCAATTTGTCAGTTATTAATTTTAATTTTAAGTAATTAAAAATTTTTAATAAAAATTCTTGTATTTTTATAGAATTAATAATAATTATTATCATTAAAAATGTTATTGTATGAGTTTTTAAGATAAAACAAAAATTTTTAATGCGCATGCGCATCATTTGTTCGACGGTACTCAATATCTTCAATAAAGAATCAAGTTCCATTTTTTTACCTTCGATCATGTATTTTAATTCAATATATCTTTCAATTTAAAAAAATCAAAATAAAGAAATTATTGAATTATAAAAAAAAAATTTTAAATAGCAAAGCCATTTACTTAATTAATAATTAAATTATCAGATGATAGTAGTTATTAAATTTAAGAAAATAAAAACTATTCAGTACTAATAATAACATTAAAGGTGCAATTAGATGACCAAGTATCCTCGTCAATTGGCTTGTACGTGGTATTCCAGTCAATATCAAAGGACCTTTCATCAAGGCTCTGTGGGCATTAGAGAAATGCTCATTAATTTAGAACATTTATTGCTCACAACATGGTATATCTATATATAGACCGATCTTAGCTATTAATTTATGGATATGGATATACATCACCGGGAACACAAATGCCATTCTATTTAACGGTCACGTAATTAAATAACTGAATAACTCCCGGGTGAAACGCTCGATAACAACATAAATCCCGCAAGCATATTAATTATTTTTATTCTATTATACTAAGCGAACAAATAAATATTATAAATATTTCTATATATACATAAATACATTGAAAGCGAAAAAAGCTTTTTCATGTCGATAAACTTGACGGGTGTTTATTTTTTTGCTAAGAAAATTTATCGCACGTAATTTCCGCCAGGTAAATTTATCATTTTTTTTTCTTTATTTCATTATCGAAATTAATTTCCGCTATTACTTTTGTTATTATCGGAGTTAATGATGAATATAAATTTAAATATATAAAATGTGATATAGTGAATTTACATTACCTCATTATTGATGTAAGTGATTTCAATACTATCTGCGGATACTTCTTTGCTCCATTTCATTAATGGACTGTTGTTATTGTTAGGGCAATTATATATTTTTGGTGACTCGCCATCTAGAACATAAATATGTTCAAAAATATTAGTATAATTATTAATCAGTCATTTTATATTAGTTAATTTATGTGTTAAAAATATATTTGTTAATTTTTTTTCACTTGTTAAAACAAAATAATAATAATCCGGAAATGCTCTATCTCTAGATACGTAATTAAGAAATGACCTTGTATTTTGTGAATTATTGACCTTTTTCAAGATCTAAGCTCATCCCGATGTTACACTCATCGAGACCTTTCATTTGAGTACCCACATGCATTTTGATATATTTTTCATGTATACATATATATCATATATATAGATATATGAAATATATGAAAAATTGATGTGGGTACTCAAATGAAAGCTATTAATGAAAGTAACGTCGAGATGAGCTTATATCTTTAAAATATATATTACTTACTCAAGAAATGACCTTGTATCTTGTGAACTATTGACATTTTTGAAGATATAAGCTCATCCCGATGTTACACTCGTCAAGACCTTTCATTTGAGTACCCACATCAATTTTTCATATATTTCATATATTTATATATATTATATATATGTACATATGAAAAATATATGAAAAATGCATGTAGGTACTCAAATAAAAGCTCTTGATAAATGTAACATCGGGATGAGCTTATATCTTTAAAAATGTCAATAGTTAAAAAAGTACAGTGCAAGGTTTCTAGTAATAATAATATTCTAATTAATAACTTAACCATTTCAAATTGAGTGGACTCCTAATCTCGAATTACCTTCTCAAGTAAATAAATACTCCATCATATATTTATATATCAAATTTGTAAAATAATGAGAAATAGAGAGGATGTAATTAGAAGCAGTTTGTGAACAAGTTGAGCAGAATTAAATTGTACTGAGATGGAATGTTTTAATTAAACGTTAAATTAATGTAAATTACTAAAGTTTTAATATTCATGTTTAGTTAACCTTTAATATTTGTGTGGATTGAACAGTTGGAGTATACGTTGGTAGTCGATGAAGAGGAAACCAAAGATGAAGACGGAGTTTTAAAGAAAATTATTTTGTGAAGTCCGCGGTCCAAATTTACAGCTAAACGCACTCGCTTCTGTTTCTGGGGTTCTATTTGCTGATTGAACACCACGCTCGTTGTCGGCTGGTTTATTTTTATGAACATTTCTTCTTCGATTGTCCTTATGTCGGTCGGGCACTCTGGAAATTTAATCACTTATATTAGAGATCGTATTTTTTTTTCTTTATAATTAATAGCTAAGCTATTATATAGTACAGTAAAAGTAATAAGTACAAGGATAAGTACAAGTATTAATATAAGAGAAGTGGTAATTAAATGAAGAAGTTGGTGCAAAGCGACTAGACACTTACTGGTACACTGCCCGGTCTTAATGCCGTCCCAGTTTCCATTTTGACGACACGTGAGCTCGTATTCTCCGAGGATATAATACCCTCGTGGACATCTCAAGGAGCATTTAGTACCCGGCAGATTATTAAGTGCTTTGTGTGCTGACCACACACTATGAGATGACTGACGTGAACAGATTAACGATCCTCTTTTTGGTACATCCAAAGACGAACACGATACTTCGTTTATGTCTACAAAAAAAATGTTTTTATTTATTTTAGTTGTGCATTTTCATATATATATATATATATATATATATATATATATATATA